CAGAGGCTTTCTGTCACTGCAAACGGACTCTTCACACTCCGGGATTTCCACACTACGTCTGGGACGACGTCTGCAAAGCACTGTCACACTGCATGAAAGCATTTTTATGATGTAATCACTGAAACATGAATCAAAAAATTCCCCATACTAAAGTGTCTTAAGCAGATCAGCAGGAAATTGTCATTGGTTTATGGTATTTTTTGATCAAATAAATGCAACCTGCAACACTGAAAATTCCAAAAAGAAAAAGTGCACTTTAAATACCCGGATGATGCACTTAAATAACCGAAAAAATTAATGGACACTTCATGCGCTAAATTGTCGCAGCTTTAATTACGTACTGAAGGGGGAGGGGCTATGAGACTCCGATTATGAATGACAAAATAACTGTATATAATTCATACTATATATGGTTAAGTACATAGTGAATAAGTACATAGTGTATGAGTGCATAGTGCATCATTTGGGACGCAGCTATTGTCTGGTGGAAGAATACTGTTTTTATTAATATCATTACACTTTAGTTTTATTTTGTGAAACCTTACTAAGCATATATAATAACCATTTTATAAAAGCAATAAGCCCCGTGAAGCCGTGGTTTACAGTGAATTTATAACAGCTAAGGGGCGTTGTTAGGCACGACGCAAAGCGGAGCCCCTTAGCTGTTATAAATCTATTATACAATCTCATTTAGATTAAAAACTGCTCATGCAGCATGTATGCAGCATCTTTGTTTGGCTCATAATTAAAATCTAGTGGTTGCCTCTAACTGAATGGAAAGAGCACAGACAAAGCCTATTAGTTTCTTTATATGAAGAGATTTCTTTTATTTGTGTTATTTATTTGATTTGGGGTTTGTTTTAAAGGGGTCCTATTATGCTCTTTTACAATATCTTGAATTTGTTTTGGGGGTGTACTAGAACATGCTCTCATGCTTGGTGGTTCGAAAAATGCATTCTTTTTTACATAATTTACATTATTACAATACCTTTCTCCCCATCCTGGCACAAACAGCTCGATTAGTTCCGGGTTTGATGAAGGCCCGCCTTCCGAAAAAAGAAATGTGATGTGATTGGTTAGCTGTCCCAGTGCGTTGTGATTG